TTGTGTCACATTTCTAACACCTAATAGGTTGTCTCATTAAATATTGATTTCTTTCTTTCTTGTCTGAAAAACATAATAAAGAAAATTATTAATCAATCAAGACTCGGTTTTGAAAACTGATCTACAGTTTACTCGGAGACATGTGACTTTTTTGTTAGTGGAGCATCCACAGTACTGTTAAATCTTTATTTTCTGAAGACAACAATTGGAAATTTTAATGTTTTCCCTATTGTATGAGTTCAAACTTATTGATAAAGCCATGGCTTCCTTTAGTTTCACCTCAAATCATGCAAGGAATAGGAAGGGCTAAGCATAGAGGTGACTGAATACAAGCAGGATGTATATTCTCAAACATGGCCTCTGCCTGTATATCTTTAAATGGTAGATCCCTGACCACCAGCTCCTCCATTCAGAGGATTGAACTCATCTTTAACTCTTCATTCCAAGAATTAATAAGAAAATCACGTTTTTTAAGATGATAATTTATTGTTATTCCCTCCTTCCCAGGGAAGAAGAAAATTGAAAAATCTGAAAAGGAAAGTAAAGGTAAATATGACATTTTAAGATACATACATAAAATTAGCTATGACAACAAAGAAACAAAAGTACATTATTATACAAATTATATAACTTAAAAACAATTTATGGAAATGTAGACACTGATATTATAGCATGTATAGGAAATGGTATGGCAAGGCATTGTTATTACCCTTAAAAATCTAATAGAAATAAGAACTTATATCCTAAAACAAACTTTACTTGTTATTGCTAAATTAATACCATACATTTCATTTTATATGACTTCTAAAATATGGATATTAATTATGCAAATTTAATTCCAAGCATTAAGAAATAATAATATATATGTTACTCTAAATTACCATTTCTTCTTCACTGAAAAAACAGAAGTGAAATGTTAAAGAAGAAAAAGGTAATTTTTTTAAGAGAATGAAATATAATGCAATGCTCTGAACCAAAAAACTCTTGAGTCAAAATTTATTTATATCATTTGTAAATGAAACTTGTATTGACATAGTTTTAGTTAGCTTTTGTATTGCTTTGACCAAAATACCTGAGATGAAAAACTTAGAGGAGGAAAAGTTTAGTTTGGCTCACAATTCCAGAGGTTCAGTCTGTGGTTGGCAGAGTCCACTGCTTTGGGCCCAAGATGAGGTGGACCATATTGTTGGATAGAAGAAGGGAAAGGGCCACAGAAAAGATGCAGGCTTCCAACTATGCCCCATATGTCTACAGTGACAACCCAGTCCATGCAAACTGGGATGGACTGACTAGATTACAGCCCTCAGAATCCAATCATTTCACCTCCAAATATTCTGCATTAGCACAGGACCATTTGGGGAATATCTCATTTACAAAGCATAGCAATGTATATAATGCCTATTGATCTGATTGTAAGAAGAAATATGGTAAATAACCGGTGGACATGTGTTAACGGCAATGTTAAAGGAGCAATGCATGATAGAACAATCAATGCAAATAAGCATCTGCTTTTTACACCATCATGATGATCTGTTTTTCCCTTGCACATTTATTTATTTAGTAAGCTATACAATATAATACAGTAATCAATGATTTCAGTATAATTAAATGTAGTCTAAGTATAAATATATCAGAAGAAAAGCATCCATTAGGTCAGAATGATTATCAGAAACATAAGATTCTGTTTTCTTTAGACCTAGATTAAATATCTATTTCTATGAATTATAATTAATCTAGTTCATTTAATCACTACCTTTATCATAGATCTTAGTATATGCAAACAAAAAAAATTCTTCTGCTAACATTTAATTTTGTTAGGTATTATTTTAATGAAAAATAAAATTTTTGAAAATTGTCTCAAGAAAATACTTACAGTGGGCTGGGGGTGTGGCTCAAGTGGTAGTGCGCTCACCTAGCATGTGTGAGGCCCTGGGTTTGATTCTCAGCACCACATAAAAATAAAATAAAGATATTGTGTCCACCTAAAAAACTAAAAAATAAATATAAAAAAATACTTACAGTACCTAATTATGCCCATGTTCATAAAGCTTAGAGTTACACGAGGCAACTTTTTAATGAAATTTCACTGTAAAATTTCATGATTTACATTTTTATAAATAGTTACAATAAGAAAAGAAAGTCTTCAGTTATACAATGTGACAAAAGGTAATCTTGAACTTCATAAATATTCAAATATTAAGTTAGTATGGAAATGCCTGAATTATGTTAGTTAATATGAATACTAGTTTTTAAAAGCCAAGACGTCTAGTAGGCACTTCTGCTGATAGAAGAAAAAGAGAACAGATAGACAATCCAGCAGAAAGTTTACATTTCAATAAAAATTTTAAAAGAACTATTTAAAGCATAAATATTCAATAGATACATGCCAGAAGAAAATTCATTTATTTCAGAAGGCTTTTTTAGCATGAGTAATGTAAAAATGATATCCCTGTAGTTATGAAAAAGAACTATAACTGGGATTTTTATTTGTTTTATTTATTAATTGGAAATATAGCTAGCATCATGAATACATTTTATTATTTATAAATTGGTCTTTTAAATTAATTCATGTTAGACACAAGGTGGAAAAATGGTAGCATGCAAACTGCATACATGCTCTTTAAAAATTATTTTGGTGATCTTGTCATCAAATCATAAATAAAATATATAATTGAATTATAGTCTTGGTGATGTAATGTTAGGCAAACTCTATTAATTGAAAATATGCTTTAACTTCTAAGGTAAACTTAACATAACCAAGTCAACAATTTTCATTCATGTAAAAACATAGATCCCCAGACTTGCTTTGTGTTGTCTTCCTTTTGCTGCCTACTATAGCTTACGTACCTAAAAGGCAGGTCACTTCTGAATATATAATTTAGTTATATAAATGTTAATAATTTAGACATTATCATCAGTAATATTATTGGGTAAAATTTTCAGTAAGAGAACAAATAACATTTGTGGAATGCTATACAGTCTTGATTTTTACATTGAAAATTTCTTCAAAATATTGCTTAATATCTCTTTGAGAGAGTCAGCAAGAAGAATAAGAAATTACTTATTTTGAAAACTCAAAGCTATATCTTTTTTATTTTTTAAATTTTTTTCACTTAATTTTTATCATAGCCCAAATATTATTTGTCTTATTTAAAGAAAAATGCAATAAAGGAAATATAACATATCTGGGTTTCATGGTAGAGACAGGATTTTGTCTCAAATACATGTAGGTATGACACCAAAAACTGCAGCAGTAAAACCCTCTTTAATACCAATTCACTATCCTATTGCACAATAGAAAGATATCTACCAATAAGAATAGCCCAAAGACAATATGTATCCTATTTACCCCCTCAAGAGATCTTGGAGGTATGATTGGTGACCCCTTTATAGCTCACTATATGGAATACTGAGGCATTAGATAACTCTTTAGTTCTTTTATTGTTCTCTTACTCTATCATTTCTAAGATCTTTGCAATATGAATACACAGTAGAGAAAAATCATCATATATGCCAGCACAAATCCAACCTGAGTTATTTGAAAGTAGGCACATTCTTATGCACTCCTTCATTCATAGTTCGTCATATCTCTGAATGTATTTTATTTCTTTGTAATTCGTGTCTTCCTAAGCAATGCTGGTATTCTTTTTTGTTGCTGTTGTTTTTCTGTGTTGCTGGGGATTGAACCCAGGGCTTGCATGCACGGCAAACCCTCAACCAATTTTGCTATATCCCCAGTCCAATGCTGGTGTTCTTAGAGGAAATATAATATTATGTCAATCTTAGTGAAATATTTTTTAATTATTTTATTTTGTGATTGTATACATGAAATATGTTGATATATCATTAAAATACAAATGTCCCAACTCAAAACATTTTAATATTTTTTCTCTTGGCATATTCTAATTTTTGTAAATCTATAATCTTAGGCTTACATTATAAATCTCAAAGTAAAGCATTCAATAAAGATTCCTTTAAAAAGTTATATTTTTTTTTAAAGAGAGAGGTGAGAGAGAGAGAGAGACAGAGAGAATTTTTAATATTTATTTTTTAGTTTTTGGCAGACACAACATCTTTGTATGTGGTGCTGAGGATCGAACCCGGGCCACACGCATGCAGGCCAGCGTGCTACTGCTTGATCCACATCCCCAGCCCTAAAAAGTTATATTTTAAAGCTTAGTCCTTGACATTTAACAAATATTGGTAGAATAAAGATATTACCAATCTTCTTCCTCAAGAAAATAGAATGTCTACAATAGCATTTCAATAGTGAGATAATCATCTCACTTTATGTCTTTTGCCTTACATGCCTATGTTTAATGAAAAAAACATAGTAACAACTCTCACAGAAATTAATAGAAAAACTAATTTTACATGGGCTTTGAAAGATTCATTAATTATAATTTTACAGTCTAATTGGTAGTTACTTGACTTCATTTATTTTTAAAAAGAATATAATTCTCAATAATATACCTTATAAAACTTGGAAATTTATGTATTCTTTAATATTTATTTTTTAATTGTAGTTAGACACAATACCTTTTTATTTTTATTTGTCTTTATGTAGTGCTGAGGATGGAACTCAGGGCCTTGCACATTCGAGGTGAATGCTCTACTGCTGAGACATAACCCCAGCTAAAACTTGGAGATTTAAAAGCAAGTTTTAAGATAAATTATATCACATGAAATAATTTTAGGTACAATCATAGCTGAGCTCAAACACCTAAAAAAGATCCTGATAGTTTTACTAAGAATGTTTAAAAAGCATAAATGTTATGACATCTGAAATGAATAGTAGCTTTATTCTGATTTTTATATATTTTCTTATATAAAGAAGAGATTAATTAAAATATCCAATAATCATGTTCAAAGACAATATAAAACTGTATTATATTTACCAATTTTTTTTCCACTCAACCCAACTGCTCACAGAAATCATGCTTTACAGGAACTGCCAGTCTGCCTTCTCAATTTTTTTCATAGCTTTTTTGAGGTAAAATTGAAGTACAAAAAAAAAATATGCACATATTTGAAGTATATACTTTGATCAGATCAGTTTTGACATGTATGTAACCAATACAAGAATTTCCATTAATTTTTTTAAAATTTGAAATCATGCAGACTGTGTTCCCTGCATCATTTATTATATTAAAAATCAATCATCTTGGGGCTGGGGTTGTGGCTCAGTGGTACAGCATTTGCCTAGCATGTACAAGGCCCTGGGTTCGATCCTCAGCACCACATAAAAAAATAAATAAATAAAATAAAGGTATTGTGTCTAACTGCAACTAAAAAACAATCAATCATCTTAAGATATATAGAACTTCTCCCCTATATATCAACTATTTCAAAATTATATGGCAAATTTATAAATATCTCAGAGGTCAAAGGAGAAAGCACAAGAAAAGTAAATAAAAAGTACTTTGAACTAAGTGATAATGAAATCTTAAAATATCTGGATATGAGGGATAAAACAGTGTTCAGATGACCATTTGTAACTTAAAGTACTTGTATCAGAAAAATGATACAATAATAATAAAATTATT